GCGGTACGCGGTAACGGTCGGTATGTTGGCGTTACCGCGACGTCGGCGACGGGCGCCGGGGGGATGCCCGGCGTCGTCGCCGGGGGGATGGATCCGATCGTCTCGCTGTTGAGCGAGTTCGGGTGAGCGGCGGCGGCGGCGGCGGCGGCGGCGGCCGGGGGGAGGACGCCGGCGGCGGCGAAAGACGACTGATGACGACATAGGGACGTTTGTTCGCATCCACGGGGGATGAACGCAGAGGACGAGAAGAAGACTGACGTAGCAGCTCGCGTGACCCGACGAGTGTCAATCCAAAGGAACGACACGACGACGACGTACAGAGCGAGGGAAGTCCGACGCGCGCGCGACGACGACGACGACGACGACGACGACTCGGCTATCGGCGGCGTCTGCGTTTCTATCCGCGACCTAAAACAATCTATCTCCCCGCCCGCTACTCCGTCTTCGCGCTCGCGCCCCGCCGCTTCCTCCTCACCCCCACCCCCCGCTGATTCAACACCGCGGGCTTCATCGCGAGATACGTGAGCAACCCCCCGAGCATGCTGACGTTCTTCCAGAACATCACGACTTCGACCTCGTACGCCGCGGACGCCGCCGCCGACGCGTCGTCGTCGCCGTCGCGCGCCATCGTCCAGTACGGGTGCATCACCGGCGTCACGACGATCGTGAACGCGGCGAGCATCTTCGCGCCGACGCTCACGTCCGCGATGAACAGCACCGCGCCCACGAGCTCCATCGCGGTCGCGACGGAGAGGTACTGCGCGTCCGAGAGCGGGAGCACCGAGTCGCAGTCGAGCCCCGAACGCGCGCGGATCGCTTCTTTCGCCGCGAGGAGGCGCGGCGCGAGCGTCGCGAGCGTCGCGCCGGCGTCGTCGTGCGCGATCGCGTGGAGCTTGTTCAGCGCGGAGACGAGGAACACGAAGGCGAGGAGGAACCGCGCGGCGAACGCGGAGGCGAACATCGCGGACGCGACGACGCGACGCGACGCGGCGAGGAGTGGCCGCGTCGAATGGGTCTCGGTGTCGTCCTCTGTTCCGTATTTTGGCGGGAGCGGTCGGTTCCGCGTGAGCACTCGCACCGATATTTCCGTCCTTTCGTTGATCTTTTCGGTATCCACGCGCGGCACTGCTTCGCGCGCGCTGCTTCACGGCGAACGTGAACTGCTTCACGCGTTCCTCCTCGAAATCGAGAACGGTGCGTCGTCCGTCGCGCCCGCGTCCGCGCCCGCGCTCGCGCGCGTCGGCGCGTCGCGGCGTCTTCCGCGCGCCTCCGGGGAACGAAATGTCGCATCTTCCCATCTCGCTGACACTTGTCCCCTTTTTCCAGGTCCGTCCTCGTCCGCGCCCTCTCGAGAGACGCCGCGCGATCGCATCGCGTCTCGCGGCCTCCCCGCGAGATGAAAGTCATCTTCCTCGACGTCGACGGCGTCCTCGCGACGCGCCGGTGCGTCCCTCGCCTCGATCCCGTCGCGTCGTCCCGAGGCTTCGACGTCGAGATGAGATCTTCCCTATTTCGCCACTTCGTTTCCGTCCATCGAACGCGCCGCTTCGTCTCGCTCGCTTCTCCCCGACGCGTCGAGGACGGCCCGTCCTGACGTCGCCATCGTCCCTCCGTCGTCCGCGCCGCAGATCCAACGCGTGCGAGCCGCGCTTGCTGGATAACCTCCGCGCGCTGGTCGAGCGCGCGGACGCGCGCGTCGTCCTCGCGTCCGACGCGCGGCGAGATCGCGAGAGCTACGAGACCGTCGCGTCGCAGCTGAGCGCGCGAGGCGTGCGGTTTTCCTCGTTCGCGTCGAAGTCTTTTCCGGCGAACGACGCGTCCGCGGAGGCCTCCTCGCGTCGCTGGCGCGCGGTCCAGATCCTCTCGTGGGTCCAAGACCACAACGACTGGATCGCGAACGGCGGATTCGACGTAACGGAAGCGGTCGAGGCGTTCGTGGCGATCGACGCGGACGCGCTCGTGACGCGCGCGGGCGGCGCCGGGCTCGTCGGGAAATTCGTCATGACGCACGCGCGCGAAGGGTTGACGGTGGCCGCGATGGAGGCCGCGTTAGCGTGCTTGAACGCGACGCAGGTCATCCCGAGGACGCTCGTCGATCCGAGCGTTCGAGCGGCCGCGGAGAGAGAAGGAGGGGGAGGCGTCGGGCGCGGTGGGGGGTGGACGAGCGACGACGAGGAGGAGGACGACGACGAGGAGGACGACGGCGGCGCGGCGGTGAAAGATTTCGACGGGGACGCCGGCGAAGAAGTCGTGTACGGCTCGCGTCTGCACACGCCCCCGGTCGTCGCGAAGTGGAGAGGCAAAGCGATGACGATCGCGATCCCGCGGAGCAGCGGCCTCGCGAGCGGCGTCGTATCGCCGGTGACCCCTCGAGGGCTGCGCGCCGCGTTGGGGTTGTCGCCGTCGCCGTCGCCGTCGCCGTCCTCGCCGTCGTCGCCGTCGTCGTCGCCGTCGCTGTCGCTGTCGTCGCCATCGCCATCGCCGTCGCCGTCACCGTCGCGCCGCCCGGGCCGCGCTTCGTCGCCGCCGTCGTCATCCTCCTCCGCGTCGTCGTCGTCCGTCTGCGCGATGGACGAGGACGACGCGCCGCTCTCCGCGCGCGGATCTCGCGCGGCCATCTCCCCGCGCGTCACCGGGCGACGCAGCGGCGGCGTCGGCGCCCCGCCCCCTCCGGAGCGGCGCGCGAGTAAAGGCCCGTCGCGGCTGTCTCACGCGGCGGCGAAGCACCCGCACCCGCGCCCGCACCCACACCCGGCGTCCGTCGCCGCCGTCGCGGTCGCCGCCGCGAGCGAGCTGGATTTCGGGAGCGCGTGGCCGATCGCCGCGCGCGGCCGCGCCGCCGTCGTCGACGCCGTCGTGACCGTGCGCGGGTTCGGGGACGGCGACGGGGCGGCGAGGCATAACATGCGATACGGGGAGGCACTCGGAGGGTGCGAGAGCGCGCGGGTGGGCGGGGAGGATTACGGACGACCGCCGCCGACGCGCGCGGGTTCGCGGTACGGTCCGCTGTGATGTGATGTGCGTGATGCGCGCGTGAACTTCGCTTCATGATATCGGAACGCGTCGTCGTCGTCTGCTTATTTCATTTATCTCTCCGCGCCCTCGATCTCGTCTCGCACACCGCGCGACGCGGGAGGGATAAAAAGTATGTACAGTACAGAACCTCCCCGTCCAGGGACGCGTCGTCGCGCGAGTAATCTCCCCAATCCAACCCATCATCAAATCATTCGCATCGCATCGCATCGTATCGATCGCATTCTTCTTCGAGAATACAGCGCGCGCGGCGCGACGGGCGCTCACCCGCGCTTGGCGCGCCTCTTCGACGGCGACTTGATCGGCTCCTCCTCCTCCTCCTCCTCCTTCTCCTCTTCCGCCTCCTCCTCCTCGTCGTCCGGCTGAATCTCGTCCGTCTTCTTCGCCTTACCGACAGCCTTCTTGCTCGGCTTCTTCGCCGAGGCGGCGGTCTTCTTACCGCCCTTCTTCGCGTCCGCGGCGGCGGCCTCGCCCTTGGGCATGACGAGCGTCGCGATGAGCGCGAAGGTCGCGACGGCGACCAGCGTCAAAAACGCGTACAGAGCCACGGCGGAGTCGGCGAGGTAATCCACGACCGGGCGGCCGAGGTCGGCCACCTTGTCCGGCAGCTTGTCCAGCGCGGAGTACATCGCGTCGGTCACCTTGGACGCGAACCCCGGACCTTTCAGCGCCTCCGCCGCCTCCTCTTCCTTCCTCGCCTTGGCCTTGGCCTCCTCCTCCGCTTTCGCGACGGCGGCGATGAAGTCCATCTTCGGTTTCCACGCGTTCGCGCGGAGCTCTCCCGCGGCGACGTCGTCGCCCGCGACGAGGACGTTGTCCACGACGAGCCCGGACGTCATCGTCCAAATCTCGAGGCCGACGCCGCCGATCTGACCGATGCTCTTGAGCGGGGTCTCGTCGTTGAAGTACTTCGGGTTCGGAATCTTCCGCGGCTTCCACACCCCCTTGTACTCCGGGTTGTCGATCATCGGCGGGTACCACTTGCCCTTGTAGTCCGGGTTCGAGATCTTCGGCGGCGTCCACTCGCCGCAGCCCGCGTCCTCGCCCTCGCACTTCGGGTTCGGCACGATCGGGGCTTCCCAGTCGCCGTCCTCCTCTTCGTCCCAATCCTCCGGAACGGTCGCGTCCGGGTCCGGCACCTCGAGGGGCTCGTCGTCGAGCCACCCGATGGGCTTCGCCGCGTCCGGGTCCGGGATCATCGCCGGCGCGTCCTCGTCCCAGTCTTCCGGCTTGGACTGCGCGGGATCCGGGATCTGCGCCTCGTCGACCCAGTCCGCGGGCTTCTCGTCCGCGTCGTCGTCGATTTCCTCGGGGGGGTTAAACGACGGCTCGAAATCTTCAAAGAGCGAGCCGGACTTCTTGACCTCGTCGTCCACGAGCACCTCGTACGTGTTGTCCTTCTTCACGGACAGCGTGTACACGTGCGGGACGGAGTCCACGGTGAGGCTCGGCGGGTCGATCAGGTGCTTCTCCTCGATCGAGCCGTCCAGCGGATTCGCGTGCCGGATGATGACGTGGATCTTGTTCGTGTTTCCGCACTTGTCCGGGCCGAACATCACGACGTACGGCGTGTCGCCGTCGAGCTTCTCCGGGGAGAAGTCGTCCGACGCGGTCGTGAACTTGAGGTACGCGCCGCCGCACTCGAGGCCGTCCTCGAGGGTCGCCTCGTACTGCAGCGTGAGGCCTTCGGAGGGGTCGAAGGGCGCGGCCAACGCGGCGGCGGCGCCGTAGTGACGCGCGGGCGCGTCCACGTACAAGCCCTGGTCCTCCGTGTGCTTCGCGGTCTTCACCGTGGTCTTGCCTGCGATTAGCGGTCGTTCGGGCGGGCGGGGGGGTGAGGACGCGCGGGCGGTCGGAAGAGAGGCTTCTTCGGGGCCCACGAGTCGATCGATCAGATCGTTCTGAAGCGTAGACTAAATAAAAGCGCGCGATCGCGTCGCGAGAGGGACGAACGACGACGGATCGATCGGACGCGGGGACGACGCGCGAGATCGCGATCGCGCGCGCGCGCCGCGCTGCGCCGCCCCCCCTCGCGACGATCTGTCGCGCGCTCGCGCGACGAACGAACGAACGCGATGCGGCGGGGGTCGGTGGAGCGGTGGAGCGGGAGGCGCGCGATCGCGATCGCGTCGTCGCCGCGGCGGCTCGAGGCGCCGGCGCCGCTTTTCGCCGATCGTTTTTCTTCCTGCCGCGCACCGTTGTACTTGTCGTCGGTCGCGTCTTTCCACGCGCCCTTCCCGGAGGAGAACGTCTCGAGGAACGCGACGTCGCCCGTGACCGAGGGCTCGGCGAACGGGTGGACCTCCGCCGCGGAGGCGACGGACGCGCCGAGCGCGAGCCCGGCGAGGACGAGAGACGAGACGCGCATTGTTGAGTGGGGGGCCGGCGGTCGGCTTCCATCGCGTCATTCCGTCGCCGTGCGGCGACGCGATTGGTCGCGCGCGTTTTCGTACGCGCGTCAGTCTGAACGAGCATAAAACTACGTACACTACTACGCGTACGGCTGCAGCGCGCAGCTGCAGCTGTCGCCAACCGTCGACGTCACCGCCGACGCCTCGTCACTCCTCTCCGCGCGCGCGTCGCCATGTCGAGCTCCTCCTTCGCGTCCTCCTCCTCCTCCTCCTCCTCGGCGCGCGCGTCGTCGACCTCGCGCGTCGCCGACGCGTCCGCGCTCCGCCGTCGCGCGTCGCCGGCGCGTCGTCGTCGCGGCGCGGCGACGACGCGATGCAAGGTGGGCGTCCGCGGTCCGTCGTCCAAGACGTCGGACGACACGCAGACCGCGGCGGCGGTGACGTCTCGACGCGCGCTGCTCGCGGGGAAGGCGCTCTTCACCGTCGGCGAGGCGTTCGTGTTCCCGTGGGCGACCGAGGGCGCGACGCGACCGAAGTATCTCGACGGCCCGGACCTCGCGCCGTTCTCCCCGGCGTGGCTTCAGTCCATCCTTTACGTCCCCACCGACCCCGACGCCAAGGGGCGCGCGAAGGCGGCGCTGACGCGCGGGGAGGCGCTCGCGTCCGAGGGGAAGCACGCGGACGCGATCGCGGCGTTCGAGAGCGTCTACGCGGTGGCGCCCACGGAGTACAAGATGTGCCAGCGCGCGGGCCTCGACATCGCGAAGTCGTACAAGGCCCAGAGCGTTAGACTCGGGGACGAGTTCGATAAGAAGGCGAACGACGCGAAGGGCGTGGTGTGGTGGTGGGGCCGCGGCACGCGGTGGCCGGGGTGGTACATCATCGCGTACCTCAGCGCGAGGAACGTGTATTTCACGGCGAGGGACGACGAGGTTGGCGCGTTCAGCGTCGCTGAGGCGTTGGGATTTCTCGTGCCCATCTGGTTTGGGTTGCTCTACGTCCTCGTGCAGTTTGGCATCCCCGACTATTAGTGAATATGCGTAGTATACGTAGTAACGACCACACGGCGGGCGGGCGTTATGATCATTGTATGTGTAGCAGTAGCGCGTAGAAAGAAAACAAGAAGAAAGCGGCGTCGGGTTGGAAGAATAGCATAAGTTAAATACCCTCGATGATTCGTCATTCGATCGCAAACCTCCCCTATCCCTTTAACCCCCCGACCGACCCGCGGCGCGGCGGTCTTCACGCGGTGGGAAACAACTTCTCCGGATCGCTCACGCCAAAGTCGTCGCTCTCGTCGCTGTCCGACCCCCCGAGCTCGTTCGTCTTCGCCTTCGACGTCGACGTCTTCTTCCCCTTCCCTTTCTTCGTCGGGCTCGGGCTCGTCCCCTCGACGCGCAGCGACGCCGCGAGCGACTCCGCGGTCGGCGGCTTCCCCGACGCGAGCACCGCCTCGAGCTCTCTCTCGAGCTCGTCGAACGCCTTGCTCCCCGGCGAACTCTTCGCGGACGTCGCCTTCGACGTCGTTCCGAACCCGGACCCGTCGCGCTTCAACACCGCTCTCCCCGTCGCCGTCTCCGCCATCGACGCGCGGACGTCAACGCCCGGCCTCAACTCGTTCACCTGCGGCGTAAACGTGCAGTCCGCCATCGTCTCCGCCTCGATCGAACGCGTCAGCGCGAGCATCCGCCGCTTCCGCTCCTCGCCCTCCCGCTGAAGCTTCTCCGCGATGGACACGTCCGCGGCGAGGCCGAGCTTCTTCAGGCGCGCCGTCGCGAGCTTCTTCGTGCGCTCCGCCGTCGCGACGGACATCATCTGGTCCGACCGCGCGCGCTCCACCACCTTCTCCGCGCGGACGCTTCGACCGTCGTACCGCGTGGACGGGACCAAGTACGCGCGTCGGCCGACGCGGTCGGAGGACACGACGCGGTCCATCGCGGCGACGAAGCGCGTCGCGTCCACGGGCTGGTCGGGACCGACGAGCTCGGAAGCCGCGGCGATATCGGCGATCATCTCGAGGACGTGGGGGTGCGTCTGGAGGCGTTTCGCGTCGTTCGCGTCGACGTCGTCGACGACGCCGAAGCCGTCCGTGGTCGGGGAGCCCGAGCCGGGGTCCTTCTTTTCGTCGTCCGCGTCCGCGTTCGCGTTCACGAGCGCTTCGAGGCGGGACGCGTCGATCTCGCGCAGGTATAAAACCCCCGAGTTGACGTCGTCCAAGCGTTTGAACATCTGACGGAACTTCCTGTGCTTCAGCTGCGTCACGAGCCGCGCGCTTCTGGCTTCCACCTTGACCTTGGCGTCCTCGCGAATCTTTTCGCCCTCGCGCATGCGAAGCAACTCCTTCTTGTCGTCGAACTCGTGCCTGTTCGCGTACAGCAAGTCGTGCACCGGGAGCTTCGCCGGATTCCGAGGGAAGTTGGGATCCCGCGCGGGCTTGTCCGCGTTCGGCGTGAACAGCGGCCCGTACAGCTCCGCGTGCAGGCGCTCGACGTGTTCCTCCGAGCGCTTCTTCGACGCGACGAGCCGCTCGACGACCGCCGCGTGGTTCACCTTTGGCGCGTGGAACCCGCTCGCGCCGCCGTCGGATCCCGCGACGGTCCACGGCGGAAGCGAACCGTTGAGAGACGGCTCCCCGCGCGGGGTCCACCCGCTCAGCGACGCGCTGCCGTCGCCGCTCTGCGCGTCCGTCGGGTGCGGGGGAAGGCGATGCGCGTTAGGGTGAAACGTGTGATCCGCGGGGATCCACGACTCGAACTCCTCTCGGCGCATCGCGCGTCTCCCGGCGTCGTAGTACAGCTGTTCGTGGTGCGACAGCCCCTTCTCGCGTAAGTTCTCGACCCTCCCTTTCATCATCTGCTTCGAGACTTTCGAAATCTTCGGGCGGAACGTGCACTCCGCGAGATCGCGCTCTTCCATGTCGCGTTTGATCTGCGCGAGCTGCCTAAACTTCGCGTCGTGGTGCTCCGTGAGTCGCACCCACGGCGACTCCGTCCGCACGAGGCTCGCCGCGTACTCCGAGATCCTCGGCTTCGTCTGCATCTCCGCCGTCTCTTCGCGCTGCCTCTCTTCGTCCGCGAGTCGAGACTTCTCGCGCAAGTTCTCCGCGCGCATGAACGCCTCCGCGTAGAGCCTCTCGTTGTACGATCCATATTCCCCCGCGTTTCGGCCGCGCGCGAGCTCCCTCGAGTGCTTGCTCATCACCGTCCCCCGGGCTTTCCTCTCCTCCATCTCCTCCGCCGCGAGCTCCGCCTCTCTCTGCTTGACGTACTTATCCTTCTCCTCGCGCTGGCGCACCGCGTTCGCGTACAGTCGATCGAAGATTTGCCCATCGCCGCGGTTCTCGTCGTCGTCGAAGTGAAACTCGGGCTTCGGCGCGACGACGTCCCGCTTCTTGCGCGATCGCGCGCCCGGGCCGCCGCCCCAGATGCCCTTCTCCGGGTCCTTCTCCTCCGTCTTCTTCGGCTTATTCACGTGGTGCCTGAGCGGCTTCGAGTTCTCCAGGAACCACTTCTGCTGCTCCTCGCTGAGCTCCGACAGCGGTTTGACCTCCTTCGCGTCTCGCTCCCACCCCGAGAAGATCGTCTTGCGCAAGCCCGCGTTGGGGTCGCGTTGGGACGGCCGCTCCTTCCTCCCCGCGATCAGATTCTCGCTGCCGTCCGCGGCGGGGATGACGACGCGTCCGGTGATCCCGCGCTCGGCCATGTCTCTCGCTTGCCACAGCTTGACCGCGAGCGGGAGCGCGATCTGTCGGCCGAACGCGCGCGATTCGCAAAACGCGGCGGCGACAAGGAGCGGGTCCTCGCTCGCGGCGATCGTCACGCGCGCGATCTCGTCGTCGCCCACGTCGATCTCGACGACGCCGGTGGGGGCGACGCGGCGCGTGGACACGCGCGCTCGCGCCGTGTTGGGTCTGGAAACGTCGATCGCGGGCGGGGTGTGGGGCGGGGGGAGGTCCGATCGATCGTCAGCGAGGCGAAGGGTCGATTCTCCGCCGGCGGACGGGGTGGGAATTGAGGCGATTTCGGGGGTGTCAGGGAAGCGACGCGACGCGCGCGGGGTCGATCGCGGACGCACCGTCTCTTCGCGCTCGCGGTGGACGCCATGGTGTCGCGTAAGGCCATGACTCGCGCGTCAACCCGGTCGGGTCGTCGCGTCCTGGCGTCCCGCGCTCGCGACACTGCTCGAGCGCGCGAGGCAATTCACTCCTGCATTATTATTCAGGCCGAACCACCTTCTTTGTGACATCCGCAATTCGAGACCTAGAGATTGAAAGCAGCTCATGGGTCAGTCTCGAAAGGAGACATCGGACGTTGATCGACGGTCGATACACATGTTTCATCGATGGAACTGGACTCGCGTTCGAACACTCGATCGTTGGACGCGCGCGCGAAACGGCCACGCTGGACCGTCGCCGGCCGCGCCCACACGCGCCCGCCCGCGCTTCGCCCGCGCCTCGCCCGCCTCGTCCGCGCGCGCGCAGGGCGCGAATCACCGCCCGCGCTCGCTCGCGAAGACTCTCCTCGAGGCCTCTCGCGCCTCGCCCTTCGTCGATACCCGACGCGTCGTCGTCGTCGTCGTCGTCGTCGTCGTTCGTCGTTCGTCGCTGACATCGATCGATCGACCTGATCCGCGAGGACGGGCGCCTCGACGCCGCGCGCCATGAGCGACCTGGACTCGTACAGCGACGCGTCGCACGGGTCGCCGTACCTCACGACGCCGCCGCCGGCCGCGCGCGAATTCCACCGCGCGCGCCCGCGCGCGGACCCGTCCTCCCCCGGGGACGACTATCACAGCGCGAGAGCCGCGAACAGCGTCAACGAGAGCGCTGCTTCCACGGTCGCGGACGACGACGCCGGCGTCGCGAACGAGTGGGCGAGGCGCGTCCGATCGCTCTTCCCGACCGGCGAGCTCGAGCGCGGGCGGAAGGACGACGTCGCGCTCGCGGAGAACGCGATCGCGGCGATGCGCCCGGACGAGCCGCGCGCGCGCTTCGCCGGCGTCGAGGGCGGCGGCACCACGTGGGTCTGCGCCGTCGCGGAGGGCGATCCCGACGCGATCGTCGCGCGCGCCGAGTTTCCGACGACGACGCCGAGCGAGACGTTGGCGCGCGTGAAGAAGTGGCTGGACGCGAGGCACGAGGAGGCTCCATTCGACGGCCTCGGGATCGCGACGTTCGGGCCGCTGTGTCTGGACGTCGCGAGCTCGCGGTACGGGACCATCACGCACTCGCCCAAGCCGGGGTGGACGCGCGTGGACGTGTTGAAGCGGCTGTCGAGCGGTGCGCGCGCGGCGTCGCGATCGCGTCGCTCTCTCTCGACCGCACGTTTCGTATCGTTTCGTACATCCCGTCCACGTGTCGAGGATACGACCAATCATAACTGACACGTGTCATCTCTTGTCCAATCGCGACGTTCAGGGTTCGACTGCCCCGTCGCAATCGACACCGACGTCAACGCGCCCGCGGCGTCGGAGCTCGCCGACCTCAAACGCGACGCCATCGAAGCCGCGGACGGCGACTTCACCGCCGCCGACGCGATGCAAAACCTCGCGTACGTCACCGTCGGCACCGGCGTCGGCGTCGGGATCATCGTCGGCGGCGAGCCCGTGCACGGTCTCGTGCACCCGGAAGCCGGCCACGCGAGAGTCGCGCGGTTTCCCGGCGACGGCGAAAAGGGCGCGCCCGGCGCCTTCGTCGGCGCGTGCCCGTACCACGAGGACTGCGTCGAGGGGATGTGCTCCGCCGCCGCGGTCGCGAAGCGATGCGGCGTCGCCGTGAGCGAGCTCTCGAACGTCGCGGACGACGACGACGCGTGGGACGCGACCGCGCACTACGTCGCGGGGCTGTGCGCGAACCTCATCCTGACGACGTCGCCGCAGGCGCGTCCCATACACTGGTCCCCATACGTCGGCGTGGTGAACGCCGATCCTTAAGGACTTTGCCCTGCGTCTCTCTCCGCCCACCCCTCGCTTTCAATCCCGACACACCTCGACGCCTTTCAACTTCAACTGACGCCTTTCAACTCCACCCCGTCGCCGCAGAGAATCGTCCTCGGCGGGGGCGTGCTGCAACGACGCGCGCTCGTCTCGAAGATTCGCGTCCACGTCAAGGCGCAGCTCGGCGGGTACGTGAAGCACGACATGGTGAACACGCGCGCGGGGCTCAGGGAGCTGATCGTGAGCAGCAGGAGAGGGAACGACGCCGGGGTGGTGGGGGCGTTGACGTTGGCGAAGGGGGCGGCGGAGAAGGCGCGCGGACGCGGCGGCGGCGGCGGCGGCGCGGCGGCGGCGGCGGCGCGCCGCGGGAACGGAGGACGGCGGAAGGGGTGGCGCGCGCACCTCGCGCACTTCCTCGTGGGGACCGTCTGCGCGCTCGTCGGCGCGAAGTTTGGGGTCCGGAGAGAAGAGCGGAAGGTGGACGCGAGCGTCGGCGTCGCGAGCGCGGAGGCGGCGGCGGAGGAGGAGGACGCCTCGGAGGCGTCCGAGTCTGATGAAGTGTAAGTTGTTAGACTTGACGCGCGGGACGATGATGATGTCACGTCACGCGAATCGTCGCACCGATCGATCGCACTCTCCTTCGCGCGTCCCTCGCGCGATCGATCGACGAAACGCTCGCACCTCGAACACCGTCGCGATGCCCCGCATCCGCGCGCTCCTCCTCGCCGTCCTCTCCTTCGCGCTCGCGTCCGTCGCGATCGCGGGGACGACCCCCGAAGGCCGCGCGTACTTGGAAGCGAACAAGCTGAAAGACGGCGTGATCGAGACCGCGTCCGGGTTGCAGTACCGCGTCCTCGTGGAGGGCGCTCCCGGGGCGCCGTCGCCCAAGGCGAACACGCCGTGCTCGTGCCACTACCGCGGCACCACGATCGACGGGAAGGAGTTCGACTCGTCGTACTCGCGCGGGAAGCCGACGACGTTCGCGCCGAACCAGGTCATCGCGGGCTGGACGGAGGCGATGCAACTCATGACGGAGGGCGCGAAGTGGGAGCTCACGATCCCGAGCGAGATCGCGTACGGGGACCGGCAGATGGGCGCGGACATCACCCCGGGCGCGGTCCTCGTGTTCACGCTCGAGATTCTCAAGGTTGGCGTGTGATCTGATGAGCGCGGAAGATCGGATCCGTCGTTCGACGCGTCGCGTCGATCGGTCCGATCTCTCGGGGAATCGAATTGAATTGAATGTACTCGTGTCGCCAGGCGACCTCGAGGCGAGCGGCTTGAGATATCTTGACAATGCATATGATAAAAAGTAAACATAAGCTCTAAGGACGATGTTTATACAGTTCAACAAGACGTGGGCAAAGGCCCCGCGGGGAGCGAGCGACGTGACGTCGCGCCCTGGCGTGTCCCGCGCCCGTTTCTACTTCGACCGAATCGATCGTCAGACTCTTCTTCGTCGTCTCATCAGCGAAACTTGGGTTTGTCCTCCTTCGTCATCATCGCGAGGAACTCGTCGTAATCCACCCGCCCGTCGTTGTTCTTATCCACCTCATCCAAGAAGTTCGTCGCGTCCACGTCCACGTTGTTCTCTTTGATGACTTTCTTGAGCTCGTCCACGGTGATGTATCCGCTGTTGTCCGTGTCAAAGTAGGCGAACGCGCGCGCGATGTTTTCTTCGCTGTTGAACTTCGCCGCGCTGAGCGTGGACGCGATGAACTCCTGGTAGTCAATCTCCCCGGACGCGTCGACGTCGATCGTGTTCAGAAGCTGCTGCACCTCCGCCGCGGTGGTGGACGTCCCCTTCTTCGCGAGGCCCTTTTGGAACTCCTTGATCGTCACCGTGCCGCTGCCGTCCTCGTCGAAGGACTGGAACAGCTCCTTCAACCCCAAGATCTCCTCCTTCGTCATCGTCCGCGCCATCGCCATCAGCCCGAGCTTCTTGAACTTGTTCATCGCGCTGAAGTTCTTCATTCGCGACAGAACCTCGTCCTCGATCTTCGTCGCCGGCGCGTCGCCGTCTTCGCGGACCCACGGGTGGTTCAGAACCTCCTCCGCCGTGAGACGATCTTTCGGCTTCTTCATGAGCATCTTTCGGATGAGATCCTTCGCGCTCGCGCTGATCTTCGGCCACCGCGACGCGGCGAGGTCGTACTTGCACGCGAGGATCATATCCTGGATGCCCTTGTCCGTGTCCGCGATGAACGGCGGGCCGCCGGAGAGGAGGATGTATAAGATCACGCCGCAGGCCCAGATGTCCACGCCCGCGTCGTACTTTTTGTTGAAAATTTCGGGAGCCATGTAAAACGCGGAGCCGCAGAAGATGTCCATCGGGGGCTGACCCGGTTCCCAGTACGCGCTCAGACCAAAGTCGATCGCCATGATCGGCGCGTCGTAATCCTTCGTCTTCAGCACAAAATTCTCCGGTTTCAGATCCCTGTGCACGACGCCGAGCGAGTGCCAGTACTGACACGACTTGATCATCGTTCGAAACACCGCCGCCGCATCCTGCTCCGTGTAGTTCCCGCGCTCGACGATCCTATCGAACAGCTCCCCGCCGGTGCACAAGTCCATGACGATGTAAATGTGCTTGCTCCCTTCGAACGCCTGGACCAGGCCGACGATGTTCGGGTGCCCGCTGAGGTGATGCAAGACGCTGATCTCTCTTCTCACGTCGTCGATCTCATCCTTCGAGATGAGCTTGCGCTTGCTGATGGACTTGCACGCGTATTTCTTCCCCGTCACCTTGTGCGACACCAAGAACGTCGTTCCGTACGCGCCCTTGCCGAGTTCCTGTGAATTGACGACGACGAGGGGCGGGGGAGCGTCAGAGCGCGCGGGTCGGGGGTGCGTCGGAATTAATGCGCCCGATTCGTCGACGAGCGAAGGGTCGGATAGGTCGACGCACGTTGTGGAACTTGTAATGCTCGTTGATGTCCTCCGTCTCGCGCCCGAGGACGCTTCCCTGGCGGGTGAATGTCCCCTTTGCATTCGGAATTGGCTTCGGGCCGACGGGGCCGTCCTTGGCGGCGCCGACGCGCTTGTTTGGATCCTGCGGGCGCGATCGCGGGGTGGAAGGAGGAAATGACGCGGGTCAATTTTGACAATTCGGGCGCGGGCGGTGGCGGCGACGCGCGGGAACGGGACGATCGCGACGACGACGAGCGCGGACGCACCGGTTTAGAGCCTGCGCACCCCATCCCGCGTGAGTCAAACGACGACGCGACTCGTTGAGTGCGACCGAGGTTCTGAGGAACGAGGCAGCCGCGCGCGAAATCAAGTTCACGATTTCGTGGTCATCGCGCGACGTTCGACCGATCACGTTCGACCGGGAAGGGCCTTGCCCTGGGGCGGGGAATATCTCGCTCACAGTTGAACTTGTGTTTTCACGTGCGCTACTCACGTTCACGCGGACTCCTCCCCGCTCGCGTCGACGCCCTCCTCCTCCTCCTCCTCCTCCTCCTCGCTACCGCTCTCCTCGCCGCCGTCGGATGCGGACGCGTTCTCGTTCACCTCGTCGCCGTCGCCGTCGCCGTCGCCGTCGCCGTCGCCGTCGCCCGCGAGCGGCGGCGGCGGTCGTCCCGCCGCCGCCGCCGCCGCCAGCGCCTCCAACCTCGCGCACTTCCCCTCGAGCTCCTCGATCGTGTGACGATAAAACATCACGCTCTTCTCCGGGACGCACTTGCACTCTCGCACGCACCGCAGGCAATACAGCCTCTTGGGCTTGCACTCGCACCGAACGCCGGCCCAGTGGAGATCCGCCCGGCACGCTGCGCAATCCTTCTCGAACAAATCCGGCGCGTCGTCGTCCTCCGCGGCTCTCATCCGCACCCGTTTCCCGACCCGGGGCCCGCCGCCGCCCGCGATTGGAATTTGACCCCCCGTCGCGGTCGCGTCAACGAACGTAGCCTCGCGCCGGGCTTTCTCCACCTCGACGCGCTCGCGCATCACGGACGCGATGGTCGCGCACGCGCCGCTCTGCGACGGGTGCTCCGCGCCGTCGCACAACGTCGCCAACAGCTGGTCGTGCGCCACGGACTGGTACCGCTTATCCCGCGCGTACTGCTCCGTCGCGACCGCGCCGAACGGGAGCCAATCGACGGGGGCGAAGTTAACCGCCTCCGCGCAGTTGAAGCCGGTGTTGAATCCGGCGTGGTACGCGTACGGGAACGTGATGATGTACGACCGCGGATGCTGCTCCGCTCGGTACACGGGAATGCCCTCGTCGCGTAAAACCTTCGGGGAGAGGATCGTCACGAGCGAGTGAAGCAAATCCGGCTGCGCTTCGAACAGGTGCGGCAAACGCCGTCGCATGACTTCCTCGAACTTCGCGCTGTACGACGCCGGGATGCTGTACCACACCTTCGGGTCGCCGAAGTGGTGGTAATTCACGCTGTAGAAGTGATGATCTTCGACGTGCCAACAAAACGTGCTGAGCGTCATGCCAAAGTAGAGCCACGGCACGGTGATCCCAGTGGTCGCCTCGACGTGCTTTAAACACGAGGACGGGTTGTACGGCATGTTGCACACGTTCCACGGCGACGTCGCGTACTTCTTCTGCCCCGGGTTGTCCGCGCACTCGTCCGTTTTCGAGGTGAATCCGCTGCCAACCTCCGCGGTGGCGATGTCGGCGCCGTAAATCACCTCCACGGACCGTCCGCACGGGCTCTCCACCAGCCGCCAAAACTCGCCTTCGAGGTCGCGCACGGAAACGTCCACGGGTCGACCGTTTTTGCTGAAATATTTCCGCTTGAAGTAGTCCGAGTACCGCTCCAGGGTAGACACCGTGTGCCGTTCGCCGGGGATGAAACCGTACTGCGCGAGGATCTTCGTCGCCTCCTCGACGTCCTCCGCGGAGGGCGGCTTCTTCTTGTGCGACCTACCTTTTTTGTGCGACCCCCGCTTCGCCGCGTCCATCGTCGTCGCCGCGCCGTTGCTCGCCGCGAGGTCGCCGGCGCTCGTCGTGACCGGGAGACCACCATCGCCGCCTTCTGACACGGGGAGAGGCGCCGCGAGAGGCGTGGGCGAGCACTCCTTGGAGCCGTCGTCCTCGCCCGTCGCGTCCGCGTTCGGAGGCGTGTCCGGAGCCGGCGCTCGAGCGGGCGCGGCGTCAACCGCGCCCCCGCCGCCGCCGCCGCCGCCGCCCATCCTCCCGCCGCCGCCTCCGCCCATCCTCCCGCCGCCGCCGCCGTTTCCGTTTCCGTTCAAGAACCCAAGAGGGGGCATGCTCAACCCCGCAGCCTCGAGCGCCTCTTTCGCTTTCGCCGCGTTCTCCCGCGCGCGCGACGACGGCCCCGCCGGGCGATTCTGCAGCTCGTTCACCGCCTGCACGCGCGTTCGAAACCGCAAGTCGTCGATCCCCGGCAGCCGAAACTCCGGGCGCCACGACTCCGGGGCGACGATGTTACACACGCCGTACTTTTCCGCCTCCGGACGTATCGAGTTGATGTACTCCAGCGGATCTTTCGCCCACTGCTCCTCCGTCGGGTAGTACACCGGCACGGACGGGACGTCGTAGTGCAACGCGTCTTCGGGCGCGAACGCGGTTCGCACCGGCGGGCCTTTCAAGCACTCGAAGCACCCCGCGCGGTCGTAGTCGCACTCGTGGCATCCGAACACCGGGACGCCGCGGATGTTATCCAGCGGCGGCTCAAACTTTTGCGTCGGCTCCGGCGGCGGCGGCGGCAGCGTCGGCTCCGGAGCTTTCGCCGGCGCCGCCTCCGCCGCCGCCTCCGACGGCGGCGCGTTTTTTTTCGACCGGCCCCGCAGCGTCGACGCCTCCGGCGCGAGATCGCACCCGTCCTCGCGCTTCTCGCCGCCGCCGCCGCCCTCGCCGTCCCTCGCATCATCTCCATCGCCGCCGCCGCCGCCGCCGCCGACGTCCTCGCCCCTCGCCGCCGCCGCCCTGCGCTTCTCCTCGCGCTCCTTCTCCTGCTTCGCGCGGTCCTCCTCCTGAGGGCCGTTCCACACGAAGCGACGTCGGGGTGGAGTTGAAAGGCGTCAGTTGGAGTTGAAAGGCGTCGAGGTGTGTCGGGATTGAAACCGTGGTGTGGGCGGAGAGATGCGCCGGGAAAAGTCCTTAAGGATCGGCGTTCACCACGCCGACGCGGTCGTATGGGAACCAGTGCGGGAACGCACCCTCCACCGCGCGATCATCGCCTCCTCGGCGCGAAGCTTCTCCGCCGCGATCGCCGCGCGCTTCGCCGCCTTCTCCTCCGCGGCGCGCTCCTCGTCGTCGAAGAACCCCTTGACGGCGCGCTTGCCGGTGAGGATGTCGCGCGCGGAGAGCGCCGCCGCGCGCGCGGAGCGCTTCCCTGAGCTCCCCGGCGTCGTCGTCGTCGCGGCGGCGTCCAGCAGCGATTCTGATTCTTCGCGCGAGCGCTTCGGCGCGGTCGCCGGCGCGTCGTCGGTCGCGTCGGTCGTCGCGACGACGGTTCTCGCGCCATCGACCGCCGCTTCCGCTTTCGCGCGCGTCTCGAGATCCATCGGCGACGCGTCATCCACGACGAGTTTTACCGTGAACGGCGACGCCATGACACGCGAGAGCGGCCGCCTGGGAGGGAGGGAGGACGGACGGAGAGGGAGGAGGACGGCGTCAGCGCGGCGCGCGCGCGGCGCGGAAAACGAGCACCCCGCTCCCGCGAGGAGGGGGCGACGGAAATTGTCCCGACGCGACGCCCGCGCGTCGATCGCTCGCGCGCATCTCGAGGGTTCGAGCGCCGTGCTCTTCGATCGAATAATTCGACCCCCGCCTCAGGAAGCGGACGCGCGCTCGAGCGCGGCGCGAGGGGACGAGACGACGACGCCGCGGGCGTAAACACGGACTCCCCCCGCGCGGGGACGACGGATTCGCCGTAAAATGTGTCGCGCGAGGGCGCCGGCTCGGTAAAGGCGACGTACCGCGCGCCCCGACGTTCGCAGGTGCCGTTCAACCGCGCGGAACGATCACGCGCGGGGTTTATGGAATACCTCGCGCGACGGAGGCGTCTCCCGTCCTCCCCGCGCGCGTCTCGGTGCGCCGGACGATGCGGCAGCGCTCGCGTCCGGGAGAGGAGAGAGCTCGTCCAGGTCGCACGTCACTCGCCGCGGCAAAAATCTCAGGTAACCTATGGAACCTTATGGAGAGGCCCAACTTCTACTGTAAAAAATGAGTCATTGTCAACTTCTCGATAACTACTGCAGACATGTGACAAGCTAAGCTCAGACGGGCATCATTCTCTTCCGCGGCGTCGACCTCGCTCGCTTCGCGCGCGGACGACGATGGACGGCGGGGGCGACGACGCTCGCGACGCCGCCGTCGTCGCGGAGACGCGCGGCGCGGACGCGGCGCAGCCCCTGGACGAGGACTGCGAGGTGTTATACGAGCCCTCTCGAGGCGGAGCGTCCGCGTCTTATCAGCCGAATTCGCCTCGGGCGTCGTCGTCGTCGTCGTCGCGAGACGTCGACGGGGCGTCGAGCGCGCCCCCGGGCGGCGACCGCGGCGAGCGCGACTTCTGGGAGACGTTCCAAGACTTGCACTCCACGCTCGTGGAGACGACGGGCACGCACGCGAAGGGCGCGCTGCACGCGCTCGCGCCGCACTGCCTGCGGCCGTTCGCGCGCGTCACCCCCGAGCTCGTGCAGGGTGCGCATCCATCCATCATCGCGTCGACACCTTTCCACGCCGAACGACGCGCGCGACCGACGCGTCTGGGGCGTCGTCCGCGTCGGCGCGCGCGTCGCGCGGATCTTCGCGCGCGGCGGCGTCGCGGGGGTCCCTCGGGACCGCGCGACGCGGCGAACCTCGACGCGGAGGCGTCGTCGTCGCGCGGTCGTCCGCGCGCGTCGTCCGCCCCGTCCCGTCTCGAGACGCGCTTGCGCTTTTTCCCTCCTCAGCCTCTCTCGGCGTCGTCGACGCGGATCTCGCGGCGCCCCGCGCCGCCCCCATCCTTTGACCGCGACGCGCCGCGGACGTCCCATCCATCTGACCCCGCCCGGCGCTCCCCCGCGCTTCGCAGAGCTCACGCTCGAGCACGTCAAGCTCCTGCTGCCGACGATCGAGGCCGTCCTCGTCGCGCTGCACCGCCATCCCGCGGGGCTCGTCTACCTCGTGGACGAGGACGAGGAAGTGGCGCACGCCGTCTTCGGAGGCGCCGCGAATTTCGCCGCCGCCTCGTTGGAACGCGCGGACGAACTGAAGGCCACGCGCGATGTTCGCGCGCGGTTGCTCGACCTGATGAAGGTCCTCATCACCCCGGGCGACGGCGAGGGCGTCGCGGATTGGGCGACGCGCGCGGACGCGGCGCTGCGCGAGGAGGCGCAGGCGCGTCCCCCGGAGTTGCCGACGAGGCGATGGAGCGGCCGCGGCGGGTTGCCCAGTTTTTTCGACGTCGCCGCGCCGCGATGCGAGCTGAGCGTGTACGTGCAGCTCGTGAGGGACGCCGCGGCGAAGGCCGCGGCGAAGAGCATCGCGCAAGAGGCTGCCGCGGTCGCGTCCGCGTCCGCGTCCGCGTCCGCGGTGGACGGCGACGCGAGCGCGCGGGCGTCGAACGAAAACGATGACGAAAACGAAGAAGGCGACGACGGCGCGGACAGCGCGGACGAGCGCGAGGAAGTGCTCTCGTCCTTCCGCGACCTTCTCTACGGAGGCGTTCCGGATACGGGGTACGGCGGGACGCGTTCTTCCGCGCTCGCGCGGCGTGGCGACAGCGCGCGCGAACGCCCGCGCGGTCGCGGCGGTCGCGGCGGCGGCGGCGCGGCGGCGGCGGCGGCGGCGGCGGCGGCGGCTCAGACGAACCCGTTCATGGGTCTCCCGCTCCTCGCGCCGCCGCACGTGACGCGCACGGAGAGGCTCGCGAAGGACGTCGCGTCGTACGCGGTCGAATCTCTCCGCGCGCACTCCAGGGCGTTGAACGCCGCCGCGGAGACGCTCTCGCGCGCGACGGCGCGCGGCGGCGGCGGCGGCGGCGGCGGCGAAAACGCAGACGCACAGCTGTCACCGCGCCACGCGCTGGCGCTCACCGCGGCGACGCTCGCGGCGCTCACGTCCGCGGCGGAGGAGACGCCGCTGGAAGCTGCGGGCGTCGTCCGCGACGCCGCGGCGGCGGCGCTGAGGCTCGGATTAGCGCTCGCGGACGTGGACGACGACGCCCGCGGCGGCGGCGACGGAGATCGCGACGACGAACCGGACGTCGACCTCACGGGGGCGTGCGCGGCGTCGCTGAGAAAGTACGTCGGCGCCGCGTTATCGCGGCACCCAGCAGCACTCGCGAACGTACGCGCGTGCCTCGCCGCGACGCTTCTCGCGCGTCCGTTTCAGAGGCAGCCGCCGCTCGCGGCGGACGCTTCGGCGTCCTACGCCGCCGCCGCGTCGTTGTCGTCGTCGTCGTCGACTGCTCCGGGGATTGCGTCGCCGTTGCTCGACGAGAACGGCGAATTTCGACCCGCGGTCGCCGCGCGATGGGCGCGCGTGGGCGCGAGCGATTCAAACGCGCTGCTCGTCGCCCTCGGCGTTCTCGACGACGCCGCCGCCGCCGCGGGCGGCGGCGGCGGCGGCGGCGGCGGCTCGAGACCCTCGCGCGATTTCGGCGGCGACGCGATCGTCCCCGCGGGCGCGCCGACGGTCTTGCCGCCGACGACCGACACCCTCGACCGCATCCTCGCCGCGTTGCTCTGCGCACTGTTCGCCTGGAGCCGCGGCGACGGCCGCGACGACGACGCCGCGCTCGCGCGCGCGCTCGCGAGGCACGCGCTCGCCGTCGTCCGCGGCGCGCCGATGCTCGACCGTCACGTCGACGCGCTCCTCGTGGCGATGAAACTCTCCGGCTCGAACGCGCGCGACGCCGGCTCCGGCGTCGCGGAGGCGACGACGACGCTCGCGCACGCCGTCTTCGGCGTGCCCACGCGCGGCGGTGGCCCGTCGCTCGCGGACGCGTGCCTCCCCCCCGCGCTGTGGGAAGGGTTCGTCCGACGCGTCGTCGTGCGCGAGACGTTTCCGAGCGCGGGGATGTTATCGTTGGCCGGCGGGTGGCTCGTCGCCGCGCTCGGCGAGGCCGCGGACGACCGCGACGAGTGCGGATACGACGTCGCGCGGAGACTGTGGTCCGCCGCGCTGGACGTCGTCCGCGCCGCGGGCTGGGTCAGCGAAAGGAGCGTCGGCGTCGCGCCGTTTCAAGGCTGGTACGCCGCCGCCGCGGGGGCGCCCGGGTTTAGCACCGCCGACGCGCGCTCGACTCGCCGGTCGAATCACCATCACCACCACCACGCCGCTCGCGTGCGCGAGCGTCTCGATCTGTGCCTGCTCGCGTTCCACGGGCTCCCGCGGACGCAGCGTGCGGCGTGTACGGCGTACGCGCTCGCGCTCGCGTCTTCCGGGGAGGGGTTCGGCGCGAGCGATCGCCGCGGCGGCGCCGTCGCCGTCGCCGCGCGGTCCCACGCCGCGCTGCTGGCGGCGCACTGCCTGCGTCATTTCGATCGGTGCCCGGCGTGGCTCGCGGAGCGCGCGAGGAAGGTGGTCAAGGGCAAGATGGAAGACGAGGACGACGGGGACGAGGACGAGGACGACGACGACGACGACGACGAGAACGACGACGACGAGGACGACGAAGAGAAAGACGACGTCGCGGCGGAGGGCGGCGACGACGACGCGGACGACGACGCGGACGACTTCGCCCGCGCGCTGATGACGATGCCGTGCGGGATGATAATGAAGCCTAAGCCTAACGACGGACGGCGGCGCCGACGACGCCGTCGTCTCGGAGCATCCGGGAGCTCGCGCGCGGGCGCGCTTCGCGCGTTGCTCGTGTCGATTCACGACCGCGCGAGGGAAGACGACGACGGCGACGACGGCGATTTCGCGGCGTCCGCGTCGTCGCCTTCGCTTCCCGGGGTCGTGTCCATGGACGCCGTCCGCGCGGCGGCGATATCTCTCGCGGATGGCGGCGCCACGTCATCACATACGAGCGATGCAGCCGGCGCCACGTCGACGATGTACAAATCAAACAGCGCGCTGAGCTTGGAGCTCGCCGTCGCCGCCGCCGCGGACGCGGGCGCGCCGCCGCCGAAGGAGTCTCCCGGTCGAACCACCTCGACGCGCGCGAACGGAGAGGTGCGCGCGTACGCGAGGGTCGCCGCGTGGGAGCTTCTCATGACGCTCCCGCCGTCGAAATCGCCGCGCGCGTCCGAAGACGTCGTCAACGGTGAGCCGAGCTCGCCGCCGCTCGGGCGAACGCCCGGGACGATTGCGTTTTTGTGGTCGCGAGCGGAAGCGAGCGCCGGTTGTTTGGACTCGTTGTACATCGCGCCCGCCGTGCGCGCGATCGCGAGCGCGTTCGGGGACGACCAAGAAACGGAGCGGTGGCCTTCGAACGCGACGGCGTCGAGGGCGGCGCTGGCGTGCGCGGCCGCGGACGTGACCTCGAGGGGCGCGTCTCACGCGCTGACGCGAGGAGGGGCTGCGTTTTCTTCTTTTTCAGACGCCGCGGCTTCGACGTCTTCGTCGCCCTCCTCCTCCTCCGAGCCCGCGTGGGCATCGCTCGCGGACCTCGCGGTCGCGCTCGCCGCTTCGGTTAAGAAGTGGACGACCCGGACGATCGAGCGGCGGTTCTGCCCGAGCGAAGCGCGCGCGATTCGATTGCTGCTCCTCGCCGGGCTTCCGTGCGCGGAGGCGTCGCGCGCGCTTCGAAAAATTCGAAACAGCCTCGACGCGGAGATCGCCGCGGTGACCAGAGGCGACGGATCTTGGGACTCGCGCAGGCAGGACGCGCTGACCGCGTGCGCGGCGATCGCGCCGCGGTCCAGGCTGGGTCCGGCGGTCAGCGACGCCGCGGTCGCGGCGCCCGCCTACCTCGGCGCCGCGTCCGGGGATGGCACGGAATCCGCGCTGCTCGCGTGCCAGCTGGCGTTGCACCAGTGCCTCGACGCCGCGCTCGTCGCCGTGCGCGCGGACACCTCGATGACGGACGACACCGACGACGTCGGCACCACCGACGACGACGCCACCGACGACGACGACAACAGCGCGCTCGCAGCCAGCACCGCCGCGCGTTTAGAGCTCATCGCGAGCGACCCCGCGTGCGAATTCGCGTGGACCGCCGCCGGCGACGCCGCCGCCGCGTTGCGCGCCGTCGGCGGCCACCCCCCCGCGGACGGCGTCGTGACCTTCCCCATCGACCGCGCGACGCCGTGCCCGGCGACCGCGATCGGGGAGCTGCGCCACGACGACGCGCCCTCCGCGGTGGAGGCGGTGTTGCAAGCCGCGGCGGCGGCGGCTGGGGCGATGCGGCTGGGCATCGGCAGCGCGGGTGACGCCGCCGCGTTGCTCGAGGCTTCGGTCGACGCGCTGTCGAGGGATTTGCAGTTTACGCCGGACGCGAACGTGTCGCTGATGGAGGTGCTGAGGAAACTCGCGAGGGTGGAGCCGGCGCCCGCGTTCGCCGCGGCGTCGATCGCGCGCTGGAACGAAGCCGCGGGGAAAGAACGCGCGTGGGACGACGACGACGACGACGACGACGACGACGACGACGCGTCTGCCGCCGCCGAGACGGTCGAGCCCCCCGCGGAAGAAGAAGACCCCGCGGGGGCGGACGTGGAGATGAAGGACTCCGTGGACGTCGGACCCGCCGCCGCGGACTGGGTCTTGTGCGCGCTCTTGACGCCGTCGCACGCGCGATGGAGCGCGGAGTCGTCGCTCGCGCCGGCGGAGATCGTCTCCGAGGCGAACCGCGTCGCGAGCGCGTTTCTCGAGCTCTCGTTGTCGCCCTCCGTGGCTGTCCGCGGCGCGTCCTCCGCGCTTCTGTCAGACCTCGTGCAACACGCGCGCGAGAAGAACTCGAACGCGAACGCAGCGATGCGAGCGCCTATCGCGCTGCTGAGCGCGATGCTTCGGCGGCTCCCCGTCGCGTGCGAGACGCGACCCGCCGGCGACGCGTCGCGGTGCATTCGGACGACGATACGTCTCGCGCTCGGGCACGGCGTCGCGGGCGCGCGCGCGGTCGCCGGCGCGCTCACTGAGTTTGTGACGAACGCGTCCGCGGTCGCGGTGGATCAGCACGACGCGTTAGCGACGCTGCACGCGGAACTGAGGGTCATATCCTCGCTGTTGTCGCCGCCGTCGCCGTCGCCGTCGCCGCCGCCGCCGCCGCCGCCGCCGTCGAAAACGTACATCGCGCGGCGGCCGCCGTCCGAGACTGGCGATCTCGCCGCCGCGGACGCGTTCGCGTCGTGGGCCGCGGGAGGGGAACCCGCGGCCGCGGCGGCGCGGGACATGACCGACGCGCAGCTCGACGCGATTCGCACGTCGGCGTTGGCGCGCCTCGCGGCGATTCGCGACCTCCCTTCGCCGGCCCCGGCGCGCGCCGCCGGCGGCGGATCGACGTCCGCGACGACGACGACGACGACGACGACGACGACGACGCGCGCGGCGGACGCAGAGACCGCGGAGGAGAACATTCGCGACTGGGAGCGCGAGATGGAGAGAGAGTTTCTTCACGACCTCCCGTCCCCGAGGACGCGCGCGAACACGGCGGCGATCGCCGCGGAGGCGGCGGAGGCTGGCCTCGATCTCCTCCGACGGAACATGTCGCCCGGCGCGCGGTCGCGCCTTCTCACGTCGTCGCTGTTCTCCGACTTGGACCTCTCGCTCGGCCTGAGCGGCGGCGTTGGCGGCGGCGGCGGCGACGACGACGACGACGGCGGCATCGGCGGTGGAAGGGACGACGCGCGCGCGAACGCCGGGGCGTTGACGCCGGAGCGGGAGACGATCGACGACGACGCGAGCTTTCTGCGCCTCGCGACGGCGTCGCGCGCGTTTAGCATCCGCGACGGCGACGACGGCGACTCGGACCTGGACGTCGACGACGAGGACGACGAGTTCGCGATCGCGGCCGCGAGGTTATCCCACGCGGTGCTGAACGCATCGGGCGCGGGTCGCGCGCATCAGCAGCAGCAGCCGCAGCGCGCGACGACGAGCGGCGGGATGCCGATCCCGACGCCGCGGCCGCTCTTCGGCGGCGCCGCGGCGACGGCGGGCGTCGGCGGCGGCGGTCGAGTCGGAATCGGCGTCGGACCGGGCGCGACCGCGTCTGACGTGTGCACGTTCGTCTCCAGCGGTTCTTCCTTCACGGAGCAGCACTGGTACTTCTGTTACACGTGCGACTTGACCGTCTCGAAAGGGTGTTGCAGCGCGTGCGCGCGCGCGTGCCACCGCGGGCACAAGGTGGTTTACTCGCGAAAATCGAGGTTCTTTTGCGACTGCGGCGCGGGGAGCATCCACGGCGTGGAGTGCCAGTGCCTCACCGCCGCGGACGCGGTGATCGCGAAGGACGCGGCGAACGCGGCGGCGAGGGCGGCGAGCGAAGCCGCGGACGCGGCGTCCGCGGCGACGCGGCTCGCGACGCGCGGCGGCGGGATCGGACCGGTCGCCGTCGCGGACGCGAGCGACAGCGAGGCGGAGGACGACTGGAGCGCCGCTGCGGACGCGAAAGCCGGGGCGGACCTCGGCCCGCCGGAGGCGATGCGCGCGCTCAGAAAGATGCTCGTCGCGTCGTCGCTCGCGTCTCCGCTGGTGACGCTGTGCGAGAAGGTGATTCGCCGCTTAGAGTCCTTCTCCGACGCGGGCGCCAGCGGCGACGGCGCGTCGGCGACGCCTCCGCGGCTGGCGCTTCCCGCCGCTCCCGGCGGCGCGATTCGCACCGTCCCCAAGACCACGCTCGCGCACCTGCGCCGGAGCTTCAAGAGCGGATCGTTCGAGGTTCGCTGTCGCGCGGAGCACGCCGCGCCCGCGGACTTGCAGCCCGCGATCATGTTGGGCGCGATACGACGCAGCGCGCTGAGCTGCTCGAGAGGCGCCGGGCTTCTCGCCGTCGCGGAAGGGGACAAGGTGTGCGTGCTGGACGCGGGCGCGCTCGCTGGATTGGGCGGGCCGGGCACCGTCGGCGGCGCGACCGCGACCGCGACCGCGACCGCGACCGCGACCGCGACTACGGCGGCGGCGACTACGGCGGCGGCGACGACCGCGACCGCGACGACGACGTCGGCGTCGTCGGAGCCGACGAAGGTTGGCGTCCGGCCGCTGTCGCGCAGCGGCGTGAAATTCGAAGTCGCGCGCGTGCTCTTCAACCCCGCGAACGACGCGTACCTCGCCGTCGCTGGATACGACATGTGTCAAGTCTTCACGCTCGGCGCGAAGGGGGACGTGGTCGATCGCCTGCAGGTGGGCCCGGAGCAGTGGCCGCTGGACGGCATCCTGGGCGCGATCATCGACGTCCAGTGGGTCCCGGCGTCGCCGAGCCTCCTCGCCGTCACGGTGTCCTCGCAGGTTGCGATTTTCGATCTCGCGACGTCGTCCGTCGCGCCCGTGGCGACGGTGTCCTTGGAACCAGGCCCCGGCGGGTTGCTCGCGGCGTCTTCGTTCGCGCTGTTGAAGGGCCACCTCGCGCTGTTTCTGCTCTCGGACGAGGGCGAGGCGTACTGTCACCGCTTTGCGAACGGATCCGTCGCGGACGACGCGCGTCGAAGCGGAGGGGACGCGACGGTGGCGAAGAGCGCGCGTCTGGAGTTGCCGGAAAAGGTGCGCGGACGCGCGGGGCTGAGCATGACGTACTCGCTCGCGCACCATCTCCTTCTCGCGTCGTTCGACGGCGGGTACTCCGTCGCCGCGCGCGTGGACCTCGCCTCCGGCGCCGTGAAGAGCGCCAATCTCGTCTACGAAGGCGGCGGCGGCGGCGGCGGCGACTGCGCAGACTTTGGCCCGTGCGGGTTCGCGCACTGGGGCGACGCGTGCCCGCCGCCGCCGCCGCCGCTCGCGGGGGCGACGCCCGGTCCGATCGCGCCGCCGCCGCCGACGTTCGTGGCGGCGTCCGCGCGGAACGACGGCGGCATCGTCGTCGTCTCCCTCGACGATACCCCGAGCGCGCACGCCCTGAAAGCGAGCGCGGGCGCCGCGGGGGACTCGCGCGCCGCGTCGCGATCGTCCTCCTCGAGCTCCTTGGCGACGGCGACGGCGACGGCGACGGCGTCCTCCGCGACCGCCGCGCACGTCCTCGGCGTCGCCGCGTATCAACCCACGGACCTCGAGTGCGCGTTTCTCCTCGTGCTCCGCGACGACGGATCGCTGCAAGTTTTCGCGCGGGAGCCGCCGCCGCCGCCCGGCGTCTCCGCGGCGGAGCGCCAGCAGAAGCAGACGGCGCGCGCGGCGAAGAGAGCGCGCGAGCGCGTCGCCGCGGCGATGCGGCTCGGGCAGCCGCGCGCCGGGATCGTCGGCGGCGGCGCGGCGGCGGCGGACGAGGACGCGAACGCGAACGCGAACGCGAACGCGCTCGCGTCCGACGCGGCGGCGCCGGCGGCGCCGCCCGTCGCGTTCCCGCACGATTTCTTCGAGAAGACCAGGTGCGTCACCTCCGAGGTCCGGTTCGGCGGCGACATCGCGCGGCGCCTGAGCTCGGAGTCGATTCGATCGTCCCTCGCAGCGGACGACGCGTTCGTCGAGGCGCCCGCGCCGGGGGTGTGTAAAGTCACGATATCGCACGCGAAGACGGACCAGGTCATCGCGGGGGTGCGCGTTCACGTCGGGAACGGGTCGACGTCGCAGACGCCGACGTCGCTCGCGATCGGCATCAGCGCGGCGGCGACGCCGTCTTCTCTCAGCGTCTCCGGACCGACGGCGGCGGCGGCGACGAACTCGGCGAACTCGGCGAACTCGGCGAACTCGAGCGGCGGCGCGGGGTCATCGACGCCGCCGCCGCCGCCCGGGGTTCCCTCGAACGCCGCCGCCGCCTCCGCCGGGAGACGCGCCGTGACGTTTGAAATCGGCTCGCGACGGTGGTACGACGTCCCGCTCACGGACGCGGAGATCATCGGCGCGGAGCGGGAGTTGACGTTATACGCCGGTCCCGCGGTGAGTCCCGGGTTCGCAGTGAGGATCGATCACCTCGAGGTGTACTCGATGACGAAGAGCGCGTTCGGGTGGGACGCGAAGACGGCCGCGGCGGCGGCGAACGCGCGCGGGAAAAACGGCGGCGTTCCCGGCGGCGGCGACGGCGAAGACGGGTTGGAGGGGAAAACCTCCACGACGCGCATGGAGCGGTTCGCGCGCCGTCTGAGCCGCCGTCGAGATCGCGGCTTTTGCGACGACGGCGACGAAGCGCTTCTCACGGAGAGGACGTTGCGGACGGCGTTATCGTTGCTCGCGCGGTCCGCCGCGGATGTCGCGACGGCGGGCGACGACGCCTTCGCCGCCGCCGCGACGACGCTGTGCTTGCGGCTGCTCGTTCCCCCCGCGCGCGACCGCGACGGATGGATTCCCGCGGTCGCGACGCGAAGGCTCGCGTGGAAAGCGCTTCGCGTCGTCAAGCGCGGCGTCGCGGCTGCCGCGGCGTGTAAAGACGCCGCGGCGACCGCCTCGCTCGCCGAGGCGGCGGCGGCGATTGAACGCGCCATCGAAGACCGCGCGACCGGCCCCACGCCCGCGGACGCGCTGCTGTTCTTGGACGCGATACGATCCGCCGCGCGCACGGCGACGCGACGACCGGATTCGCTCGCGTCTTCGGACGACGCGAGAGCGTCCGTAACGTCTCTCGTGCGTGCGTTTGAGGACGCGCTCGAAGCGAGCGGCGGCGCCGTGGACCCGGAGGAGGCGGCGCCGTTTCTCGCGCGCGCCGTCGCCGCGATCGCGGAGAAGATCGAGACCGAGACCGACGACGTCGCGAACGACGCCGATGCCTCTTCACACGCGCTCGCGACGTCGCTGCTCCTCGCCGGGCGCGAGGACGCGCGGCACGCGGCGTGCGCCGCGCTCACGGACGTCCTCGTTGGACCCGCGCACGCGCACCCGGGGGCGGATTACCGAAAGTCCACGCATCCGTTTTCGCGCGCGTCCGGCGGCGACGGCGGCGGCGGCGACGACGACGGCGCGCTCGCACTCGGCACGCCTCCAAAACAGCGCGCGACGTGGAACACGCCGCCGGCGACCGCGCCGAAGCCGGCGCCGCCCGGGACGGAAGACACGCAGTTCTCCTGCGACGTCTGCGACGTCTCCCCGATTGTCGGGCACCGGTGGCACTGCACGCGATGCGTCGATTTCGATTTATGCGACGGGTGTTACCGCGGCGCCGCGGTCGCGCGCGCGTACCCGGCGACGCACTCGTCGTCGCACCCGATGATCGCGTACGAGTGCGGCGCGCGCGGGAACGCGCCGCCGGCCGCGGTCGCGAGCGTCGTGGCCGCGGAGGCGGCGGCGGCGGCGGCGACCGCCGCCGCGGATGCTCGCGCGGCGGCGGCGGCGCCTTCGGTCGGGAGACTTCAACTCGCGAAACGACTCGCGTCCGCGAAGGACGAAGATCTCGGCGTCGACCGCGGCACGGCCGAGCTCGCGCCGTACTTTGTACTGCTTAGGAGGCTCGTTGCCGTCCCGGCGTACGCGGCGGTTCTGGCGCCGATCATCGCGTCCGGCGCGGAGACCGCGGCGGCGGCGGCGGCGGCGTCGGCGGGAGGCGGCGACCCGCGCGCGACGCAGAAACTTCTCCTGCGCCTCTCCCTGCTGTCCACCGTCCTCGCGATGGAAAAGCACAAGCACAAGGACGGCGGAGGGATCGCGCTGTGCCCCGAGTTCGTGTCGAATCTCCTCGCGATCGCGCGGAGAACGCACGCGTTCGAGATGTCATCCGCGGCGGCGTCCGCGACTGGGGTTGACGTTTCCCCGTCGCTCGTCGTGCCGTCTTCACCGAGCGCGGCGTCGGCCTCGACCCTGAGCGCAGCGATCGCCGCGCCCGGGTTGAAACCGGACGCCGCCGCGGTCGTGCACTGGGGCGACCCTTCCGCGTCGAACGACGAGCTCGCGGCGGACGCGAACGCGGCGATCGCGCCCGGGGACTCAGACGAGCCCGGCGTCGCCGGGTTCGGCGCGCTTTTGAACGGAACGCCACCGTTCGGGATCGATCGCACGTTCGTTCAAGACACGGGTTCAAACCTCGTCGAAACGATCGTCAGCGTCGTGCACCAGCTCGTGAAGCCCGGGGAGAAGGAGAAGCGGCGGGAACGCGAGAAGAAGCGCGCGGAGAAGGACGCGGCGGCGCGAGAGAAGACAGCCGCGGCGGCGGCGGCGGCGGCGACGACGACGACGCTCGACGACGACGCGAAGTCGTCGTGGAGCGCGCTCCTGTCCGAAATCCTCGCGTCGCCGAAGCACATCACGACGTCGCAGACGCGTCGCATCGCGCGCAAGCTGTTGCTCATCCTCGCCGGGTCCAGGGACGACTACCACGCGTCGAGAGACGAGGCGGCGCTCGCGGATCATTTCTCGCGCTTCGACGCCGCCGCGATTCCGACGCCCGGTCCGTGGTACGTCGACCGCGCGCCGTACGCCGCGCTCCTCGCGTCGTCCAGCGCGCTGGCGATGGCGACGGAGATCGCGACCGCGCGGCCGAAGAGCTGGCGGCAGTTCACCGCGGCGCGTCCGGATATCTTACCGTCGATCGCGGCGATCGCGCCGTTCGCCACGGAGAAGACCCAGCTGGGCGTTTTGAAGCTTCTCACGTTCGCGCTTCCCGGGTCCCCGGACGTCGTGCGTCCGCGGCTTCACGGCCTTGGGTGGCTCGGGCGCGGAGACGCGATGGATCTCGCGAACGAGAATGAAACCGACGCCGATGGAGCGTTACGCATCGTCGCCCTCGGGTTTGACGCGTTCATTCGCGACTTTCTCGTGTCGTCGCGTTCGAGCTCGGTTCGCGCCGCCGCCGCCGCCGCCGCGCGCGCGGCGTGGCGGTCCTCGAAACCGAAATCCAAGGAACGCGAGACGATCGCGAACGCATTGTTCTCCATTCTCCCTTCGCTGACGCCGTACGGCGACGCCGCGGCGGAAGCGATGGACCTCGCGCGTTGGCTCCTCGCTCGCGACGACGAAGAAGGCGTCGGCGCCTCCGCGGCGATGTCGTCGGACGTCGTCGAAGCCTTCACGGACGCGACGATACGCGCGATTCAAACGCTGTCGTCGCACGACAACGCGCCCGCGTACGCGTCGCTGCGCGACGTCGTCGACCTCAGCGGCGGACAGTACTGGTTAGAGACCGCGCCGGGACTGGCGCGGGCGAGTCTGTGCGGCGCCGGCGGCGACGCCGACGACGCCTCGGCGGAGCCGTTTCGACGAACGAAGATCGACACCTCGCGCGCGGAGGTGCGATTCACCGAGCGCGCGATCGTCTCGAAGCTGTTGAACCGCTCGCTCGTGAAGTCCGTGATCGTGAACATTCACAACCCGGGGCGGACGATCCAGATCCGACGGCTCGCGATTTACCGCACGACATCCGTCGCCGCCGAGGTTTCGAGGCTCCGGTCGGATCGATCGACGTGGAAAAAAGTCGCCACGGCGACGATCGCTCCGGGCGCGACGGAGGCGGTCGTGGACCTCCCGACGCCGCTCATTTTCGCCGGGTGCGTCGTCGAGCTCACCGCGTTCCACGTGAACCTCCACGCGAGGGCGCAGGAGATTTTGCAGTGCCCGCGGTGCTCGCGTCACGTCACGGATAAGCACGGCGTCTGCCGTCACTGCCGCGAAAACGCGCATCAGTGTCGGCACTGCCGGAACATCAACTACGAGCACCCGAACGCGTTCGTGTGCAACGAGTGCGGGCACTCCAAGCACGCGCGAATCGAGATCACGTTAGAATGTAAGCTCGCGGGCGGGTACCCGCGCGTGAGAAGCGAAGAGGAAGCCGCGAAAGCGGTCGCGGAGCTCGAAGCCGAGAGCGCGACGGCGGCGAGGGCGAGGGACGCCGTCGCCGCGCTCAAGCCGCAACTTTTACGCGCGCTGCATCCGCGCGAAGACGACGTCGGCGGCGACCGCGACCGCGACCGCGACCGCGACCGCGACCGCCCGCGCGGCGGCGCGCACGGCGAACGGAGTGTCGTGAGCGTCGACGGCGGCGTGAACCACGCCGTGAACGCCGTGGGGGCGATGTACGACGGGCGGTGTAAGCTCGCGAGTCTGGACGTCGCCAACGCGGAGAAGCGTCGGATGGAAATTCAGGCGTCGTTGGCTGAGTTCGCCTCCTCGCGCGCGGCGGAACGCGCGGGCGACGGCGACGAGGGGAAAGAGAGAAGAAGAATGCTACCGCCGCTGCTGCCGCCGACGACGCACTACGGCTGCGTCGAGACGTTCGTCGCGCTCGCGCTGCCCGTGTGCGCGTCGCTCGCGTCGCCGCCGCGCGACCGCGACCGCGACCACGGCGGCGGCGGCGGCGGCGGCGGCTTCTTCGCCGCCGCGGGCGCCGCGGCGACGCTGATCGACCGCGGGTTACACCGCGCGCTCTTGATCGACGCCGCGAGGTCTGTCCTGCGATCCACCACCGCGAGAGCCACGGCGAGGGAGCTCATCGCGTCCCTCGCGTCGTCGTCCGCGGCGGTCGTCGAGGAGATTTGCGCCGGGATCGCGTCTCGCGTCGACGCGGCGTTCGCGCGCGCCGGCCCGCGCGGCGCCCTCGCCCCGGAGACCCTCGCTTCCGTGTCCGACGACTGCAGGCTCCTCGAGGAGCTCACGAAGGACATGGACCTCGAGTCTAAGTTCGGAATCGACCTCGGCGGCGGCGAGGGAGGAGGAGGGAACGGATACGTCTCGACGAACGATCCAGACGCGGACGACGCGTTTCCATTCTTTTCGGAGCATCGCGACGGCCTCGCGAGCGAAGACCTCGTCTCGCTCGCGGGCATCACCCTCGACGAAACCGGCGGCGGCGGCGTCGACGGCGTCGCTCTCAACGACGACGACCCGTTCGCGTCGTCGTCGACGCCGAGTCGACGCGTGGTAAAGCGCGCGCGCGGCGCGATCCCGCACGCGGCGAAGCTCACGTTGGACCTCGCGCGCCGCGCCGCCGCCGTCGGCGGCGAACGCAACGCGACGCTCTGCGCGCGTCTGATTCTCCCCGCGCTCGCGCTGCTCAGAGGCCCGGCGTCGTCGCCCGCGGCGTGCCGCGCGCCCGTCGCGCGCGCGATGCTCGCGCTCGCGCCGCCGCCGCCGCCCCCGGACGCGCGGAACTCGGGTGGGGACGCGACGTCGCTCATCGTCGCGATTCGCGTCGCGCGCGCGTGGCGCGACATCGCCGCGGCGCGGCGAAACCTCCGTCCGGGCGACGGCGTCGGCTCCGCGACGTCCGTGTTCGCGTCCATCGTCGCGGAGAACGCGCCCGGGATGGACTGGGACGAGGACGACCTCAGCGCCGTGCGTGGCGCCGCGACGTGGGCGACGCGGCTTCTCCTCGCCCCCGGGAGCGCCGACGTTCGAAGAGAAGCGAGCGCCGTCGCGAGATACCTCGCGTCGGACGGCGACGTGCAGCGCTACGCGATTCTCGACGCGGTCGCGCGCGCGCTGCCGACCGCCTGCGCGGCCGCCGCGGACGCGTCCACCGCGCACGCGGACGTCGGCGCGTGCGTCAGCGACGAGTACTTCGAGCTCCTGAGCGCGATGCTCCAGGAGGACGTCATCGCGCGGCGGTTCCTCGCGCGACGCGGCGCCGTCGCGGCGGTGGCGGAGCAGCTCGCGAAGGAGACGTCGCGAATCGCCGCCGCGGACGCCGCGGGCGCCGCGGACCCGGACGCCGGGCTCGTGCTCGGACGGCTCGTGGATCTGCTCATCGGTCTCTCTCGCGCGCGCGTCGTCGTGCGCGAGGACGACGACGGAAACGGCGGAGGCGAAGGCGAAGGCGGCGGCTACGAAGAGATTGAAGACGACGCCGCGATGGCGGACGCGCTGTTGAAATCTCCGGGGGCGCTGGAGACGATTCTGCGATGCTCTCTCGCGGCGAAATCGCTCGTCGCCGCGCGCACGGTCGCGACCGCCGCGGCGGAGGCGGACCTTTCAGCGCTCGCGTACCGAGCCGCGGAGGCGAACGCGCGCGCGCACGAGACGCTCGTGTTCGCCGCCGTCGCGGAGGCGCGACGCACGGCGGCACGCGCGGGCTTCGGATTCGGCGGCGGCGCGGCGGACGCGCCGCGAGCGTCCTTCTCGTCTCTCCCGCCCGCGCCCGCGGGGCACGTCCTCGCCGCGCTCGCGAAGCTCCTGCTCCCGGACGCGAACGACGCGAAAGTGTCGTATCCGCTGCGGCTCGTCAAGTCGCAGACCCAGGAGGAGTTTATTCGCGGACACATGACGAGTAACCCGTACGACGCGTCTGACATTGGCGCGGAGACGATGCGGGACGTGAAAAATTTCGTGTGCGTCTCGTTGGAGATGCACGGCCTGTGCGACGACGACTTTGGCATGGAGCTTCTCGTCGCCGGTCGGATCGTGTCCCTCGATTTGAGCGTGAAGGACGTGTACGAGCGCGTGTGGAGGAAAGCGTTGGACGACGGCGACGTCGCGGCGCCCGCGCCGCAGCGGCGGCATCTCCTCGACGACGACGACGAGGACGACTACGATTACGACGAAGAAGGCGGAGGATACGCCGGCCTCGGCCACGGCCACGGTCACGGCCACGGTCACGGTCACGGCCACGGTCACGGCGCGAGCGCTGGGACGATGGTCGTGACGTACCGCCTCCAAGGCCTGGACGGCGAAGCCACGGAGGAGATGGTCAGCGAACTCGAAGAGGACGAGGGCGAAAAAGCAGACCCGGAGGAAGCGTTCGCCGGTCACCTCTCTCGTGCGCGAGGGCGACGGCCTCGCGCCTTTACTCTCTCTGATCCCTCTTCTCTCCTCCGGCGCGAACGCGAACGCGAACGCGAACGACGACGCGAACGACGAGGTAAATACCGGTGATAACGCAGCATCCCTCGGCTCGTTGACCGTGAGCGCGGTCGAGACGGGGGCGACGTTGATGCGCGTCCTCGCTGCCACCGCGGAGCTGCGGCTCAACCGCCGCGCGTTGCTCAATCTCGGCGCGCTGCCCGTGCTCCTCTCCGAAGCCGCGTCCGTGTTTAGCATCGACGACGAGTGCGCGAGGGAGCGCGGGAACGAGCTTTTGCTTCTCGTCGAGCGCCTGCTGCAAGAGGAAGAAATCGCGGTGAGCGACGAGAAGGACGCCGCCGCGATCGCCGCCAGCGGGACGCCGACGGGCGCGGGCGGGTTATCGAAATCGCTGAGCCGGTCGCGGGTCAGCCAAGCCGCGCTCGACGCGTCGATGAACGCCGCGGAAGTCGACGCGCCCGACGTCATCGCGCCCGACGTCATCGCGCGGACGGGGACGCCGCCGCCGCCCGCGGACGCGGCGGGCGCGCAGGTGAAGGTCTTTCTGGGGAAGCTCGCGGCGCTCACCTCCGGCGGGGACCGCGGCGGGGATAAAAAGGCCAACACGCGCGCGGCGGATACGCTCGCGCGCGTGCTCCCTCGCCTCGCGACGCACGACGCCGTCGCGACGGAAACGCTCGCCGCGCACGTCTCGCGGACCATCTCGAAGCTGTCCAAGCTCGACGCGCTCGCGCCGGGGCTTCCCGGCGCGGAGACGCTGTCTTTGGAGCTTCACTGCTGCGCGCGCGTTGCGGAGGGCATCCCCGACGACGCCACGGGCTTTCGATTAAAGTCGCGGCTGTTATCCCACGGCGCGCTGAGGCACGTCACGACGTATTTGCTCGACGTCGCGTTCAAGGACGCGTTCGCGCGCGGCGGCGTCGAGTTGGATAAGACTTCGGACGCGTGGCGAGACGCGTGCGCGAAGCCGGCGCTGACGTACGCGCTGTCGTCGCTGCGCGGGTTGGTCGCGTCGCACCCGCCCGCGGCGGCGGCGTGCGCGGCGGCGGCGGCGACGGCGACGGCGACGGGCGACGACGGCGCCGCCGACGCGTCCGCGCGCGGGCTCCTGCGGCTGCTTCACGCGCTCGAGAGCGCGACCGAGCGCGGGGTCGGAACGCTGTCGGAGAACGTCTTGGAGGCGCTCGAGGCGTCGGACGAAACCGCCGCGGACGCCATCGCCGCGCTGCGCCGCGCGACGAAGCAGGCGTCGATGCAAAAGGCGATGGAACGCCGCGAGAAGATGCTCAAAGAGATGGGCCTGACGCGCTTGAGCCCGACGCCGAGCGGCGTGGACGCGTACGGCAGCGCGAGCTGCAGCCCGAGCCCGAGCCCTTCCGGCGGCGCCGGGTTTCTCTCGCTCAGTGCCACGTCGCAGCCGCGCTCGCCCGGGAGCTGGCCGGCTTCCCCGGGCGCGGGGGGCCGCGACATCCTCACCGTCGCGGTGTCGCCCTCGAGCGTGAAAGGCATCGAGGACGTGAAAGACGAGGACGAGGAGGACGACGCCGCGCTCGTGTGCCGCGTGTGTTTCGAAGGCTACAAGCTCAGACCGCGCGAGCTTCTCGGGGTGTACTGCTTCTGCAAGCGCGTGGAGAACGCGCCATCCGCGGGGGGGCCGGGCGGGAGGCGAGGCGCGGGGTATTCCAGCGTCTCGCACTTCAACGCGATTCACTTCGCGTGCCACGCCGCGGCGCGCCGCGCGGACGTCGCGCTGCGCACACCGAAGCGCGAGTGGGAGGGCGCGGCGCTTCGAAACAGCGAGACGTTGACGAACAACCTGCTTCCTATCCTCGCCGCGCGCGTCTCTTCGAGCGCGTACGCCGCAGCGGTGGAGTCGTGGTGGGAAAACGTCTCCAACGTCGGGCGCCCGGAGGCGGTCTCCGCGCGTCTTCGCATCGCGATCGGCGACGTCGCGATGCTCATCGGTCGATTCGCGACCGGCGCGTCGTTCTCCGCGGACTGCCACGGCGGCGGAAGGGAGAGCAACGCGCGCGCGTTGCCGTTTCTGTTGCAGCTCTGCGCGCACGAGCTGCGGCGGCGGGATCGCGCGACGCCGGCGCCGCGCGGGTCCCCGCGCGCGTCCCCCGGGGCGACGACGTCGTCGTCGGACTCGCCGTTGCCCGCGCTTCGCGACGCCGCGGAGGCGAGGACGTGTTTGGAGGCGCTCGCGCGCGGGAACGTCAAGGATGCGGCGTCGTCGCACGCGTTCCCCGCCGCGCTCGTTCTGTCGACGCTGGTGACGCCGCGCGACGCGTGGACGGCGATGCGACGCGACGCGTTGCGCGCGACGATCGCGCACGCGGCGCGCGAAGGCTCGGCGTGCTTCGACTCCGCCGCGCCCGCGAGCGCGAAGGACCCTGAGGGGGACGGGGAGGGGGAGGGAGAAGGAGGAGAGGAAGGCGGCGCGCGCGACGGCGACGGCGCGACGACCGAGAGCGGCGGCCGCGGCGCGTTCGCGGCGTCGAAGCCCGCGTTGCTGTTCGTCGGCGTGGTGGATAAGTTGCACGAGCTCTTGCAACCCGCGGGCGGCGGCGGCGGCGGCGGCGGCGGCGGCGGCGCGTCGCGGGCGCTGAACATCGGCGAAGACATCCGCGAAGAGATGGAAGAGGAAGAGGAAGAGGAAGAAGAGGAAGCGGAGGAAGACGCGACGACGAGCCCGGTGTCTGCGGTCGCCGCTGAGGCGGACGCCGCGGCGACGTCGCCGGCGATGTCGCCGGCGAAATCCCCCGAAGCGATCGCCGCGGCGACGGCGCATCGCGTCTCGCGCGCGCTTCGCGACCTCCCGCGGATGCACGAGCTCGCGAACGAGCTCATCGAGTTCATCGAAGAAGCGGAGGACGCGGAGGACGCGGTCGAGTATTTCGACATCATGCGCGCGCTCGCGGAGGCGACGGCGGAGGGCGACACCGCTGACGCCTTCGTCGACGCGGCGTTCGCGAACGCGTGGTAATAACGCGTCCGCAGACGAAAACGCGCCCGAGCGAGAGAACGATTACTAACACTACTACTACTACTGCGTACGGAAGTACTTCCGTACGAGCTACGTTGTGCGAACATAGACAGACTGTACCATCAAATGAATATTAAACGAAGAATGTCGTAGACCGAAGGTTCGTCGCACTCGTCGTCACTGCGAGTCATCGCGGTCGGTTCCGTCGCGCGAAAAAAAAGCAATCCAATTCTTCATTCATTCGCTCGCCTCGCGACGTCCATCCAGTCGTCCTCGATCGACGCACTCACGCCGTCTTGCGACGCTTCTTCTTCCTCGCGACATTCTTCGGCGAGAGCATCATGACCGCGATGGACGCGGCGAGCAGCGCGAACTGCAACACCAGCGCCTCGGGCTTATCCTTCAGGAACGCGAGGTGGAAGTGGATCGCGCCCGCCATGAAGATGGTCAGGATGAATCCTCCGAGCTGCGGCGCCTTCCACAGGAGAACGTACCCGATGACCTCGATCAGGCCGAGGATCTTCGCGAGCTCGTAGTTGTTCTTCTTCGAGCATCGCACGGCGAGACCCGGGATCGGCGCGAGGAGGCCGTTAAGCCAGGGGACCCACGCGTGCTCGCACCACGCCTGAGGGTCGATTCCATACAAGCGAACGTCGGGGTGGAGTTCAAAGGCGTCAGGTGGAGTTGAAAGGCGTCGAGGACGGGGATTGAAAGCGAGGGGTGGGCGGAGAGATGCGCCGGGAAAAGTACTTAAGAAACGGCGTTCACCACGCCAACGCGGTCGTATGGGGACCAGTGTATAGAACGCGCCTGAATCTCCGCGGTGTTGGCCGTGGGCGTGCAGTCGCCCTTTTTGCCGATCGCGACGGGGCACAACGGCGCGTCGCATCCGAGGATGGGGACGTTGTACTTGCACGCCGCCGCGCGGAGGTATATCGCGAGGGGCAGGATCTTGAGGATGGTGAGGACGAGCGCGGTGTTGAGGCGGCTCTGTGGGGAGGGAGTGGGGCGGGGGGGAAGGGGGGAAAAGGTTGAGATTTATGCGTCGTTGTTCGGGCGGTCTGTGACTCGGATTGCGCGGCGCGCTCTTTTCCGCGGGCGCGCGCGACGGGGCGGGGGAGAGGCGCGCTCGCGGGACGCGCGCGCGCGAGGGATGTCGTTTCGAAGACAAGTGAGCGCACCATGGTGCTCGGAAGTGGTGGTCCGGTGCGTGCGAAGCGCGCGAAGGAGTGCGGCGCTCCGGTTCAGCAGTCTGGTCGCGTTGTTTTTTTGGTCCTTCGGGGTCGAGCCCACGCGCAGCACCCGCGTGTGAGCGCGCGGCGCGGGGGCACTCTAGCGGGCAGCGCTGCGCTGTGCCAGTGCGGCGTGCCAAGTCAATCACGTCCGCCCCGCGTCGACGCACAACCCACGCCGCGCCGCTTCTTCGCGGACGCGTGAGCGAACATCCTTCGCGCGCGATCGCGTCGTCGCGGGTGGACGCGAGCGGAGCGCAGCGATCGCGAGGACGCGGCGGACGCGGCCGCGAACGGCGACGGACGGCGACGGACGTCGGGGGGCGAGGTGAAAGCGACCGTTCGGGGGACGAGCGCGCGCGATGGGGGAGCCGGAGATCGACCCCAAGGCGGCGGCGATCAACGAGTACCAGAGGCTGATGATGCAGCACAAGGTGCGCGTCTCATCCTTCATCGCGCGAAGGCCCCACTCGCGCGATCGCGCGCGATCGTCCCGCGCGCGATGCGTCGCCTCCGTCCAGATCTCGCCTCGTCGTCCGTCGCTGACCTAGATCTCTCTTTTCCCTCCTCCTCCGCGCGCGAACGCGAACCGACAGGAGCTCGACGGGAAGGTGAGACGGTTACGGGACGACGTCAAGGAGACGAAGAAGACCTTCGACAAGACCGAGGACGATCTGAAAGCGCTGCAGAGCATGGGGCAGATCATCGGCGAGGTCTTGAGGCAGCTCGACGAGGAGCGATGTGCGTCCTCGCCGCGCGCGTCTTTTCCACCCTCCGCTTTCAAATCGACCGGACTCGACTGGACTCGAAGCCAGTCAGTCCCCGCCGCCCCGCCGCCGCGCCCGGCGCGCGATCGATCGTTCGTCACCATCGATCGCACCGCGCGCGCCGTCCTCTCTCCCCTCCCCTCCTCTCCTCTCCTCGACGCCGCGTCCGCCGCGCCCGCTCACCTTCTCCCTCCCTCCGTCGACCGATCGTTCGTTCGATCCGCCCGCCGCCCGCGCTCTCCATCCGCGACGTCCGCAGTCATCGTCAAGGCGTCCTCCGGTCCGCGTTACGTCGTCGGCGTGCGAACGAAGCTGGACAAGGAAAAGCTCGTCAACGGCACGCGCGTCGCGCTTGACATGACCACCCTGACGATCATGCGCGCGCTCCCGAGGGAGGTGGACCCGGTGGTGTATAACATGCTCCACGAGGACCCCGGACACGTGGATTACTCCGCCATCGGCGGGCTGGGGGAACAGATCCGCGAGCTGCGCGAGAGCATCGAGCTGCCGCTCATGAACCCGGAGCTGTTTCTTCGCGTCGGGATTAATCCGCCGAAGGGGGTGCTGCTGTACGGGCCGCCCGGGACGGGGAAGACGCTCCTCGCGAAGGCGATCGCTTCGAACATCGACGCCAACTTTCTCAAAGTCGTGTCCTCGGCCATCGTCGATAAATACATCGGCGAGTCCGCGCGTCTGATCCGCGAGATGTTCGGGTACGCGCGCGAGCACGAGCCGTGCATCATCTTCATGGACGAGATCGACGCCATCGGAGGGAAACGGTTCAGCGAGGGCACCTCCGCGGACCGCGAGATTCAGCGAACGCTCATGGAGCTTCTGAATCAGCTCGACGGGTTCGACGTCCTCGGAAAGGTGAAGATGGTGATGGCGACGAACCGACCGGACGTGCTCGACCCGGCGCTGATGCGCCCCGGGCGTTTGGACCGCAAGATCGAGATCCCGCTCCCGAACGAGGGCGGGCGCGTGGAGATCTTGAAGATTCACGCGCAGAAGATTAACAAACACGGGGACATCGACTACGAGGCCATCGCGAAGATCGCGGATAACTTCAACGCGGCGGACATGCGAAACATCTGCACCGAGGGCGGGATGTTCGCGATTCGGGACGAGCGGGATTACGTCGTGCACGATGATTTCATGAAAGCCGTGCGGAAGCTCGTGGAAGCGAAGAAGCTCGAGCCCACGGCGTCGTACGACGAGACGTTCAAGAACACGGACAAGTGATGACGGGACGACGCGCGGCGAGGCGAACGGCGCCGGCGGCGACGACGACGATGTAATCGATCGATTGGTTTCGCTCAGGACCCAACCTTGGTAACCACACCTCGCGTCCAGGAGCAATACTCAGCCGCCCCCGCACGCAAAACTAATAGACTACTATCTCACAACACCGCGGACCGCTCGCCGCCGCCGAAGACGTCGGACATCCCGAGCGCTTTCCGCACTAAACCCCGCATCTTCGGAACCTCGTCGTCGACGTTTTTGGTCTCGTCGTCGAGCCCCTTCCACAACCCCTCGAAAACTTCCAACCGCTCGACGCACCGCTCCTTCTCCCCCGCGACGTACAACGTCAGCGCGTAGTTCAAGTGGAACAGGTGGTCCCCCGGGTCCATCTCGATCGCTTTCTCGTACGCCGCGCACGCGTTGTCGTGGTCGTCCAGCTTCGCGAGCGTCACCGCGAGATACATGTACGCCGACGGAAAATCCGGCTTGAGGTTGATCGACGAAGAGAAAAAGTGAAACGCGCTCGCCGCCTGCCCGGTGTTCAGATGCACGAGCCCCAAGTTATACGCGATGATCCACTCGAACGGGTCCAAGTACAGCGCGCGCTTCAAGCACGCGATCGCGGCGATGTACCGCCGCTTTCCGAAGAAGCACATCCCGATGTTATTCCACAGCTGCGCGCTGTTCGGCGTCTGCGTCGCCGCGACGCGGTATTTGATCAACGCCACGTCCACGTCTTGGTTGTCTTGGATGATGCTCCCGGCCGCGAGGATCGCCTTCGGGTCCCGCGGGTCATGCGTCAGCGAGTTCCCGAGGTAATCGAACGCGCGGAAGCTCTCGCCCATGCGCAGGTACAGCAGACCGATCGTGGTCAACACCTCAGGGTTCTCCGGAGAAAATTCAAGCGCCTCGAGGTAGACGTCGACGGCTTCGTTGTATTTCTCCTGCAACGCGTACACCTTGCCCATCTGCGCGTACGTCGTGTCGTGCCGCTGTATGTCGTTCGCGCCTTTAAAGCACTCCACGGACTCGTCGAACTGCTTCAGGTACATGTAGCACAGCCCTTTGTTGTGCCAAATCTCCCAGTCGTCCGCGCCGACGGCGTTTTGCGCCTCGTCGTAGACGTCGATCGCAGCGCGGTGTCTCCCGAGGAGGTAGAGCGATCGACCGACTTGCTTCAGGTTGGCGACGTTGTGCGGGTTCAGCGCGGTCGCGGCTTGGAACAGCGTGAGTGACTCCGCGATCTTCCCCTCGTGGCGCTTGATGAGGGCTCTGACGTATATCGGGTACTCGCACAGGCCGCCGAACTCGCCGAGCACCTCCTCGATCACCGCGAGGCACTCCTTGTGCTCCTGGCGGACGTAGAGGCGATGGATGTGGTAGTTGCGTCGCTCGCGCGCGATCGCTTTCGACGCCTTCTGCGCTTGCGAGTTCCCCGCGGTGGACGTCAGCGGCGCGCGGCGCGCGGCCGCGGACGTCGACGCCTTCGCGGACGCGCCGTAGTAGTCGTCGTCCTCGACGTCGGGGTCCGAGTCGGAATCCGCGCCCCGCCCCATCGCGCGTTCTGTTCTTCGCCGACGGTCGCGTCGGTCGCGCGCTCGGGGCTCGAACGCCTCCGCGCTCGAAGCCGACGCGCGCGGGGGTTCGGATCGCCGCGCTCTCTCCCAACCTCGCGCGAACCCCACCGGCGTGCGCGCGGGGAAACGCGCGCGCGGGCGTGCGGCCGCGCGCGCGATGCTTTGGTGGACCGTTCGAAACGACGCGAGAAGATGTCAACAACTGAAGCAGACCACGCCACGCGAGTTTTTCTTCGCGATCATTCCAACCATCTACTGTACGTCCGCCGCCGCTCTCTCTCTACTCCGCGGCGTTCTCCTTCACGGAATTCTCCTTCGCGAGCTTCCGCTGCGACAACCGCTTCTGCAGCGCGTCCTTAACCCCCTCGCGCCGCGCCTCCGTCGCCGCGCACATCCGCCGCCGTCCCTCCTCGTGCGCTTCCCTCGCGGCGTCGACGTCCGCCCTCCACGCCTCTCTCCTAGCCGCCATCTGACACGTCGCGAGCTTAGGGTCGAGGGTCCATACGAAGCGACGTCGGGGTGGAGTTCAAAGGCGTCAGTTGAAGTTGAAAGGCGTTGAGGTGTGTCGGGATTAAAACCGAGGGACCCTGGGCGGAGAGAAACGCCGGGAGAGAAAGTCCTCAAGGAACGGCATTCACCGCGCGAACGCGGTCGCGTGGGGACCGGTGCGGCGTATATATAGAACGCGCCTCAGCCTGGAGCATCTCCAGGGCTTCGCGGTGCGCGTCGATCGCCGCGTCGCTCATCTGGACCTCGTCGACCATCTCGTCGTCTTCGTCGTCGTAATCGGAGTCGGACGTGGACGTGATAACGCCTCCGCCGCCGGCGTTGAGGCGCGCGCCCTCCTCCTCCGCGCGCGCTCTCGCCTTTTCGCGTTCAAACGCCTCGAGCGCGGCGCCGAGGGCGTCGACGTCGTCGCCGACGCCGCCGACGTCCGTCCTGTCCTCGTCTCCCGGCGCAACGAAGTCGTAGTGCGTCGCGCGCGTCATCCTCGACTTTCGAGTGTTGTGGACGTCGAGCGACTCGGGGGCCATCTTGAGCGATTCGCCGAGCGATCTGAGCACCGCGGCGCCGGCGACGACGCTCGACTCGAGGGGCGCCGACTTCGACGTCGACAAAATCGACGTCGACTCCGCGTCGCCGTCCCCGCCGTCCGGCGCGGCGAAGAACATTCGCCCGTCGACGGCGGTGTACGCGTGCGCGCCGCCGAGATAATGCCGCACCGCGGCCCACTCGCGGATCCACCTCGCGTCGGGGTTCGCCCCAGCCGGCAGCCCCTCGACGGTCAGGTCCAACCCGATCTCCTCGTCCGCGGCCGCGTCCCCGCCGGATACGCCGCGTCCACTCGCTCTCTCCGCCGCCGCCGCCTCCTCCTCCTCACCCTCCTCTTCTTTCCGCGGCGGCGCGCGCTCGAACGCCTCCGCGTCCGGCCCCAGCCACGCGCTCGCCACGAACCGCGCCTCCCCGCCCGGCGCCTCCACCCGCGTCGCGACGTACTGCACGTCGGCGCTCCTGAGGGTC